GAAGGAGCAGTAAAGACATCACATGTATGACATTGGGTAAATCTGCCGCAAGAGACCTCTTTCAAGTGCTGAAGAGCAAAGACGTCTCCCTGAAGACTAAGATGTAGCTAACCCAAGCCACAGTATTTTCAGTTGCCTCATATGCATGTAAGAGCTGGACAATGAATAAGGAAGACTGAAGAAGAGTTGATGCTTTTGGGTTGTGGTGTTGGCAAAGAATACTGAGAGTACCATGGACTGCTAAAAGAATGAACAAATCTGTCCTGAAAGAAGGAAAGCCAGAGTGCTCCTTGAAAGCAAGAATGGGCGAGACTTTTTCTCTCCTACTTTGGTCATGTTGTCAGAAGGCACCATTCCCTGGAGAAGGATATCATGATTGATAAAGTGGAGGGTCAACAAAAAAGGGGAAGGCCCTCAACAAGATGGATTGACGCAGTGGTTGCAACAATGGCCTCAGGTATAGCAAGGATAGTGAGGGTGGCACAGGACCAGGCAGTGTTTTGTTCTGTTGTGTATAGGGTCGCTATGAGTCAGAGGCAACTTGATGGCACCTAACAACAACAACAAAGCATAATGATGGTTCCAAAAGAAGGTATAAAAAAAGGAAAATGAACAAAAAACTGAGAGGACATATAGAAAATAAATAGCAAAATGACAGGCTCAACCATAAGGATATCAATAACAGCATAAAATTTAAATGGTCTTAACACTGCAATTAAAAGTCAATAGGTTAGATAAAAAAGCAGACCCATTCTAGCATAATATGCTTTACTTGAGTTTGGTGACCACAATTTCTATGTACGGACAAAAAGTAATTGGAGTAGAATATTGTTTCCTCCAGTTTTTTTAATATCTCAAGTCCCAAACACAAAGTGTATGGGTTGTGGCAGTCTAATATCCTTTATTTGGGATAGTAACTAAGAGATGACTCCATATGTAAATGATGTTGCCCCAAATGGCTTAGAGACCTTTTAAGTAGCGATTATTTATTTGTTTAAAATTATTTATTGTATTATTTAAAGGAAAAATTGAAAATACTACCTGATTTGAAGAATCTTCAGGCAAACTTGACACAGGAACAATTTCATTTGAATTAACATAATTGCTGACATTTGGAAATAGCTCTTCTTCAAAAGAAGCTTTTTGCACTGAAGACAAATCAATCTACAAAACAATATATTCCTCTTTTGTAGAAACTAAAAGTTGCAAAAGCAATTATATTTTAAGTAATAAAGGGAAAGTTGAAAATACTATCTCATTGGAGGATCTTTTTGTGAACTTGGCATAGGAATAATTTCATCTAACAACATAATTTCTGACATTTGGAAATCATTCTTCAATCATCCATTTTTAACTAGGGACAAATCAATCTATAGGGAAGAATAGATGTTTTGCACTGAATACTAGAGATTTTAAAATCTCTGTCTCTAATACAGAACTCTCTCCTGAGCTCCAGATCCATATCTCTATCTGATTACTAATATCACCACATATATCTGACTCAAAATCAAAATATATAAAACCACTCATGATCCATATTCCTTAGGTGAAGCCTCCAAAAAGCCTTGGAAGATTGATCTTCTAGATCTGACTAGGGTTATCTGGCCTAAACCTAGGTGAGCCCACAGGTTAGGTGCCTGGAACAGACTATTAATTTCACTTGGGAGATCTGCCTTTGCCTAGCTCCTCTTCTTTTCGGAGGACAGAACAGAACAATCATGTCTATCTATATGTATCTTAGGATAATCTTAGGAAGGCCATGTTAAACTGAGACCCTGGAAAATAAAAAGTCTCCCAAAGGTCCTTGAGTCAATTATCCTTCTTTAGGGTGGCTAGCCAAGGACTGATAGCTTGTAATTAAGGGGGACTTACACACCTCATTTGGTAGCAACAAACTGTGGAATGTATCAGACAGCAATTAATCTCAGATTCATTTGGTAAGAAAATGTGGACTTTAACATGTCAATTAAGTGTTCTCAAAAACATTTTATTTATTAAAGTTCAAAGATATTTACCCACAGAATAGGAGAAAATAAAGATAGTCTTTGACTTACAACATATTCAAGTTAAGACAAAATACACGTAAGACTTTTTTCTTTCCATCTTATCATAAGTAGTATGTACTACATATAATGTTGTAGCATATAATTTGTTGGTGTTACCATTCTCAGATGGTCACTAGCAGATGTTCAAAGATCACGTTTATAAAGATACTGATAATGAAATCAATAATAATGAAAAGAAAAAGAGAGAAGTATTTGACTTACCCCAGAACCAACTTACGACAGAGTTGTCAGAATAGAATCCCATCATAAGTCAAGGACTACCTGTATTTGTAAATCCTATACTGATAAGGGACATGTATCCAGAATATATATTTATATCTATCTATATATATAAAGGGAGCCCTGGTAGCATAGTGCCTAAGGCACTTGACTGCTAACCAGAAGGCTGGTGGTTCAAACCCACCAGCCACTCCTCGGAAGGAAGGTTGGGCAATCCTACTTCCGTAGTGATACTGCCTCGGAAACCCAAGGAGGGGTCGCTATGAGTTGGGGCCGACTCGACGGCACGTAACAACAACAATATATATAAAACTCTTATAACCCAACAACAAAAAGATAATTAAAAATAGGCAAAAGAGTTGAACAGGTATTTCTCCAAAGAATATACGTAAATGGCCAATAAGACATGAGGAGGTGCTCCATATCATTAGTCATTTGAGAAATGCAACTCAAAATCATAATAAAATACTTCACACCTACTCACTAGGATGGTTAAAACAAAAGACAAATAAAAGGTGTGGGTGAAAATGTGGAGAAATTGGAACCCTTATGTTTGTTGTTGTTGTTATGTGCTGTGGAATCGACCAGACTCATAGCAACCCCTCCTTGGGTTTCCGAGGCAGTATCACTATGGAAGTAGACTGCCCCATCTTCCTTCCGAGGAGTGGCTGGTGGATTTGAACCGCCAGCCTTCTGGTTAGCAGTCAAGTGCCTCAGGCACTATGCTACCAGAGCCCTTATGTTTAGCTAGTGGAAATGTAAAATGGTAAAGCCTCTTTGGAAAATAGGTGTTTCCTCAAAAAGTTAAAAATATGGTTCCTATATGACCCAGTAATTCCATTCCTATATATATGCAAGAGAACTTGGATATGTTGATGCAAACACTTGTACATGAATGTTTACAGCAACACTATTCACCGAGAGGTGGAAACAACCCAAATGTCCACCAACTGATGAAAAGATAAGTAAAATGTGGTATATTCATACAATGGAATATTATTCAGTCATAAAAGGAGTGAAGTACTGATACATGCTACAAAACAGTGAACCTCAAAAACATGCTAAAAGAAAGAAGCCAGACACAAAAGACCACATATTGTATTGTATGATTTCATTTATATGAAATGTTCAGATTAGGCAAATCTGTAGAGACAGAAAGTATAGTAGTGTTTTCCAGAGTCTGGAAGGTGGGGAGAGGGGATGGGAGGTGACTGCTAATGGAGTGATACAAATGTTCTAGAATTAAATAGTGGTGATGACTGCACAACCTTGTAAATATACTAAAAAGAGCCACTGAATTATGTATTCTTAAATGGTGAGTTTTATGAAACATGAATTATCTCAATGAAAAGATGCTATTTGTAAAATGGACATTAAATTAATTTTATGGAAAAAAAAAGCACCTCATTTTGGTACTTTTACTCCTGATCTATACATTTTTAATTCCAAATATAAAATAGAAATTAATCAAAATATAAAAAATGAAATCACTCATTTTCTAGAAATAAAACTAACTTATACAGCACAGGAAAAACTGCTTGTGAGCAGAGTGCTGACAAAACCTTTTCCCCCACTTAGCATGAGAATCTGATCTTTGGTTAACCCCTTAGCCTCATTCCCCTAGGAACCTGATCAGAGTTGACTGCAAGGATGTCAACGTGTTAGTAGACAATAATGCTGTTGTTGTTGTTATGTGCCGTGGAGTTGGACCCGACTCATAGCGACCCTTCCTTGGGTTTCCGAGGCGGTATCACTATGGAAGCAGACTGCCCAACCTTCTTTCTGAGGAGTGGCTGGTGGGTTTGAACCGCCAGCCTTCTGGTTAGCAGTCAAGTGCCTTAGGCACTACGCTACCAGACCCACCAGTCACTCTGCAGAAGATGGGGCAATATCGCTAGATCGGTATCTTTACTGGGAAAAAATCTATGAATGTAGTATGTATGTCTAAACAAATAAATTACAAAATGTACTATAAATAAATACTTAAAAAGTTTCTAAACATTCAGTTTCTTTGAGTACAGTCCCTCTTGCAAATAGGCATCCCCCTTGGGGAGATCTTAGAAGCTATAAACATATTAACCACTGGGGTTGGGTAGCTCCTGCACTCACTGGATGCATATGTCATCTCTTTGCTCCTGAGCTGTCCCTGGACTGGTATGTGAGCTGTGAAGACTGCTCCCAATGAAGAGGAACACCTGCTGCCCTGCTTGCAGGTTGCATTCCTATTGTTTAGTTCAACCTAAGAATAACCCTAGTTGGTGCTGCAGTATCCTAATCTTTCTTACATGTATAGCAATGTATAGAGTATTTCCAGTGAAAGTGTGTGCAACCTAAAAACACAGATATCATCCTCTGTATCCAATATTCTCTTGCCATGACAAAAATTTAAAAATTGGAGGGGAAGGAGTCAGAACATAGATACTGTAAGTTTCAAATGCTAAAACTTACCACAAAACCACTTGTCTTTGAAGATGGAGTACTTGTTAACAGGCCTCTGCTTTTCTTACCAGGAATAGTGGGATTTTTTTCCTATAAATATTTTGTGAATAGCAGAAATAAATAAGCTGTTCAACAGAGTAAAACTATAATTTAAACTTAGTAGAATAGACCATAATGTATCATATTAATAAAATTCCTAATCTGCGAATTAAATTTTAAGCCACCAGACAGGTAACCAAATTGTTTTATAGCTTTAGTTAAGTAAACAAAACAAAATAAAAACTCCCAAAGACCTTTATGAAGCATAACAATTATGTAAGAATATTTTGGTTGAAATCACTATTTAGGCATAAAAGATAATTAAGAGTTTTGAATTAGGGAATAATGTGTTTTGGTTATCTCTGTTAATTTTGAAGAAAGGTATTTTACTTATAATGTTTGTATAATTCCTAGTAATTAATTATTGGACTTTTTACGAAAAAAGGTTATAAGTTATTTCTGAAAGTGTTAAAACATACATATACAGTAAGGATAATTGCCTTAAATTATGTAAGATTAAATGTATACAGATATTTTCATTTATGGAACATTAAAGTTAAATTATAAAGTAGAATGCAGACTCATTTTCTATTTCTTGAAGATGTAGATAGGCAAAGCAAAACATGCATTGAGCAACAGGTGTACAAAGCCAGAGGAAGCAAGTGACAGAGCAAGGTGAAAAAGAGACAGGATTAGAGAGCTAAAGAGAGGGAGGAACAGACCAAGAGAAAGAGGAGAGAAGGGAAGGGAGAAGGAAGATAGAGAGACAAAAGACAGAGAAAAGAGATGAAGACTGAGAGAAGGACAGAGGGAAGGAGGAGAAAGAAGACAGAGATTGAAAGTAGAAAGATACTGAGAGAGAATCATGGAGAATCAGTGACAGAGAAGGACAGATAGAATAAGAGAGACAAAAACAGAATCAGGAGAAGAGAGAGACAGCTGAAGACTGAGAGACAAAAACAGAGAGAACAGATAAAAAGAGGTAAAGAGAACAAAGAGAAACAGTGATAGAGACAGTCTAAGAGACCGGAGACAGGTAGCTTTATTCGTAGCAATCAACTGCCTTTTCAACTTTGGGTTCCTGAAACAACCATGTCCTTCTGATTAATCTCTTTTTGAACAGGTGTTTATTATATACTACCAAGTCTACCCTCCCAAGAGGGTCCGGGTCTCCGGGAGTAAGGTAAGCACGGGCGGGCTGGTGCTTACTCACTGATCTGCACTGAACACTTTCCCTTGTTACCCTCCCGAGAGGGACCGGGTCTCCGGGAG